GATTAAAAGCTTTAGGTGTGCCAGGTGGTGGTGCACACCTTTAACCGCAGCAGTCAGGAGGCAGAGGCGGGTGGACTGATCTTACAGAAGCATAGCTATATACATTGGAGACTTCTCTGGTCTACACAGTAAGACCCTGTCATTCTGGCTTCTTGTCCTCCCATAAAAAGAATGCCTAAAAGAAAGTGTTCTAGGCACATCTGCAGTTACACTAATGAGACAAATAGAAAACTTCAAGGAATCCACAACCCTTCCAGTTACAGAAACTCACCTAATGATTTTCTAATGCTTCAGTAATCATTTCTCCCATGCTGTGAACACACGAGTCAGAAAAATGACTGCATGTGTCTAACAGAGACAATCTCAGCTGATGAAATGGCTTCCTCTGGAGAAATGTCCTATGATTGCATAAAATTTGTCCACTTTAAAAAGATATCCACACATTTTTGATTCCTCCTTCCAAAATAGGTGGGGCCTAACTGCTGTCTTAAGTGGGGACTGGACTCAGTGATTCAGCTGTAATCGAAAGAAAACAGAGGCAGCACTGATATTCAAACAGGACGAGCAGATGTGTGGGTTCTTCCCCACTCTTTCATCAGTGTCTCTGGATGAAGCCAAGTGACCCTGACAGATCCTCAAGCAGCCCCCATGCACGGTGTAAGGCCTCTGCCCAACACTCATCTTCCAGCCTATCTGAGCCTTTGGACAAAGGCCACAGCACTTCAAAAGCCAAACTGAAACTCAGGCTCTCTGAGCTACAATACCCAGCTAGGCTATTTTTGAGTCCCTGACCCACAGTAACTGAGAAAAAAAGTGTGTTGTTTGAAACAACTAAATTTGCTTTCTTAGACTGCATTAGGTACTGGTATGGTATTTAGTAGCTAGCGCATTTGCAGAAATATAATTTCTGTACAAATATTTATTGTGAAGTTAGATGAAACTGACTTTTACAAAAAAATAATTACAGTCTGTATTTCCAGGAATGTAGAAAATAGGATGAATAAGAGTGACTCAGTCAAAATGCCAGGAATGAACCAAATCAAAATAACGGAATTATACCATAATTAGAATGAGTTTGTTTGGTGAAAAGACTTAAACATTTCAATGGAAGGAACAAGGGATGTAGACAGCAGAGAGATTAGCTACTAAATCTCAAGTACCTTGATGCTTGGGTAAGACTTCAAGGATGTCTTGGTCACTGTTCTCATGCTGTGAAGAGACAACTTATAAAAGAAAGAGTTTCCTGGGGCTGACAGTCTCAGAAGGTGAGCCCACGACCATTCCAGCAGGGAGCATGGCAGAAGACAGGCAGCCATGGCACTGGAGCGGTAGCTGGAGCTCACATCCACAGGCAGGATGCAAACAAGAGTACTAACTGGTAATGGTGTGGGCTTCTGTAAACTCAAAGACCAGCCAGCCCCAGTGGCACACTTCCTCCAACAAAGCCACACTCCCTAACAGTTCCATCAACTGAGGACCAAGCATTTAAACCTAAGAGCCTATGAGGGCCGTTCTCATTCAAACCACCACAATGAAAAATGCTGTTAAGTTCTGAATGTACTTGCTACTGATGAGCTTGGAAAGCTAGAGTTCTTTCTCAAGAACATGTTGTAGCTGTTTATAAAGAAAACCAAATGCTTACGTAAAATATAGCATTCAAAAAACAGCACTTGTTCATAGGATAGTCAGCACATGGCCTTTGCCTTTCCTCTCTAACCTTAAATATGTTATCAAATTACCCTCAAGCATTTAAGTATTTTCTAAGATTCTGACCTGTTCTAACAATTTTTGTATCATCTGCAGAAGTGCCTGTGTATGTGCGTGTGTATATTTGTGTGTGCGTGTGTGAGTGTCCATCAGGACATTCACATGCTAGGACCCCACATTGATGTTGAAACCAGGAGTTGACATTAACTAGAAAAAGCCTTGGAATTAAGAGTCCCAGCCTAGGGTGCAGCGCAATGCCATCCCTCCCTAGCTACAGACTAGAGACAAATTGCTCCCCGTTCCGGACCTCACTTGGCTCATTAGTACAAATGGGATAGTTGTCAGGTTTTCAAGATCATTACAGTTAAAGAACACACAGAAAGGGCTTCACACAACACTGCCACTCACTATGTGGCTTCTCGCTGTTAATGGCCCTTATACTAGTCAGCTTTCTATCACTGACAAACGCCTGAGACGTTGAAAGAAGTCTTCATCCACCAGTGGCTGGTCCGCTGCCTTTCTAACCTGTTCTGAAGTAGTGCGTCATGGCAGAAGGCAGTGGCTAGGAAGCAGAGAGGCTAACAGGATCAGGATGGGACCCCAAATATCTTCTACAATGTCCAAATAGCCTAACTCCTCCCAGTAGGTCCAGCTCCTAAATGTGCTGCATCTTCTGAGAGTGCCATTATCATTAACAGGACCTAGGCAACACTTAGGATCCAAACTGTAACTAGCACCCTCCTTCTTTGAGTGCTACATCTTGGATTTGAAATATCCTCCCAAGGTCCATGCACTGCAGCTTGGTGCCTAGTCTGTGATTAGCAGGAGACAGGAGTGCCTACCTTCAGGAGGTGGAGCCCAGGGGGAGGTTTTCTGTCATCGGGACCATGCCCTCAAAGGTGACTGTGGAACCTTCGGACTCTCTAGCCATGACGTGCTTCCCCAACCCAAACACACACCACAGGCCTAAAAGTAATGCACTGGCCAATCATGGACATAAAGCTCCAAAACTATAAGGGAAAACAAACCTTCTCTCTTACTAAGCTGGATTGTCTCAAATACTTACTAAAGGAAAGCTGGCTAACGTACTAGGTAGACCTTCCATATCATGAACTACGAGGACAGAGACCTCTGGAATATTTCTGTGTCTCATATTCAGATGCAAAAGGTAGCCCAGGAGATTATGACCAGATAGATTTATGGCTTTTTTTTTTTTTTAATTTTGACAAGGCCTCGCACATCCCAGGCTGACTTCACATCGCTCACTATGTAGCTGGAGATGACCGTGAACCTCTGAGCCTCCCGCCTTCGCTGTCCAGTGCTAGGATTACAGCTGTGGGCAGTTTGTGTGCCATCATGCCCAGCTTATGTAGTATTAAACTCAGGGTTCCGTGCTTGCCAGACAAGCATCAGAGCCTCCATCACAGACTCGATCTGAAATGTCCTGCAAAGGCCTCTCCCAACTAAGCTACAACTCTAGTCCCAGACTTGTTATAATTCTGAAAGATTACAAAGGCTTATGAACTGAAATCAAAACTGCATACTTACCCACTCAACAAGCAAAGTACCTAGCCTGCAATCAATATTTATGCAGCCTGAACATATTCCTGTGCAGTCTATTTTCTCTCTCTAATTGCGCTGTCTCCTCCACCAAATTACAAATTGGATTGCAAAGAAAAAAACCTAAACACGTCTGTACTCGTCAGGGGCCCCTCGCATACAAAGAGCTGATAAATTTAACTTCAAGTTCTCAATAGACTGTTCTTATCAGTATGATCTGAACATTTGAAGAATCAGGCATCCTCCCCCTCCTAACAACATACACGTACGTACATTCACCCTACCGATTTACAACCAGTCCTAGGCGGCCAGAACAGTGAACAAAGGTCCTGCCTAACACTTCACACAGAATCTGGAGAAACAGTTAGTACTTAATATCTTTTTCTTTTTTTTTTTTTTTAAAGACAGGGTTTCTCTGTAGCCCTGGCTGTCTTGGAACTATCTCTGTAGACCAGGCTGGCCTCAAACTCACAGAGATCTGCCTGCCTCTAAAGGCGTGCACCACCACTGCCCAGTAAACACTTAATATCTTGACAGAGGAAAGAAACAACCTCTTTCAACTTCCTATTAGAAAAAAAATACTAACATCTATGCTATACGTTAGAAATCCTCAGTACATATGACACAGAGGACCTAATGTCCCTCCTCAAACAGCCCTGAGCCCCGAGTCCACTCCATCTATGGTTTCTATGGTTAAGCTTACAGTTTCTATCCTTGGGCTTTGCACACTTTACTAAACTTTCCGTAAACTCTCTAGAAACAAGGAGCAGAGTATTTGCTTCCCTGGCAGTACCAGCCCACACTGGAATCCTCTACACACACTATTCACACTGACTCGGTGTCCTTTCTGTTGCTGTAATAATACACTGACCAAAACCAACCTGAGGAGGCAAGGGCTTATTTCAGTTTACAGCTCACAGGCCATCACTGAGGGAAGGCAGGGCAGGAGCTCGAGCATTAATTCCAAGGCAGCCACTGAAGCAGACATGGAGGAACCCTGCCTACTTGCATGCTCCATAGCTTCTCAGTTTCTCCCACCTCCCAGAAGCACCTGCCCATGACAGCAACAAGCACAGTAGGCTGGGCCCTCCTCATGAATCATGAATCAAAACAATATCCCACAGACATGGCCATGGGCCAATGTGATGGAGGCAATTCCTCAATTACTTCCCAGTGACTCTAGTTCGTGTCAAGATCACAAAAAAAAAAAAAAAAAAGGAATAAGGACCAAATACATAACAGAAAGCCAAATGCACAAGGTAAACATCAACTTAGGGAAAAATTCTGTAGTTAATGTGTGTAAAATGAGAAACAGTGTCGTCATCTCGATGTAGGAGCACAAACACAGTCAGTGTGAAGGGCGTACACTCACCCATCCACACTCACCCATCCACACTCACCCATCCACACCCTGTCACACCGCAGGCGTTTGGTAGACGCTGGAGAAGGCAGCACTAAATGGGAAGTCTATGGACGTGCTCAGGTGATGAACCTACAGTCCATAGACTGTCCCGTCCGTGACTCTCTCTGC